GTAATGCGTATTTATGTCCTCTCATCCGGTGACCAAAATATTCGAGTTTTCTTCGCTTTAGCGATAACAAAATCTCTGGGTCTTTTCCTATTCTTCGTATTACTTCACAGTTTGTTATTCTTTCAACCCAACTAATCTTCAGCATTCGACGGTAGAACCACATCTCGAAACTTTCAATATTTTTCATGTTGTTCTGTTTGAGAGTCCAGGCCTCTACACCGTATAATAGCGTGTTAAATACATAGTCTCTCAGCATTCTTAATCGTAGAGGGATGCTTATATTTCTGTTGCAGAAGAATTTTCTCATCTTTATGAAGGTGGCCCTGGCAATTTCGATACGTCTTTTTGTTTCACTGTTTTGGTCTCCAGTTTCGTTTATTAACGTTCCCAAGTATTTGTAACTTGATACTTGTTCAATTTAAGTGCCGTTTATACTAATATACGATGGTTGTGTCATGTTTTTACTGAAGACCATATACTTGGTTTTTTTAATATTGATATTTATACCATAATTGTTGCAAGCAATATTTATGTCTGTAAGTAATCTTTGTAATTCTTCTACTGTTCTTGCAACTAGTACAGTGTCGTCCGCGTATCGAATATTATTTACAATCTCTCCATTAATTACGATTCCTCCGTTTGCTTGTAAAAGGGCTTCCTGACAGATGCTTTCACTATATACATTAAATAACAGAGGTGACAAAATGCAACCCTGTCGTACTCCTCTGCGTATTTCTATTGCTTGTGATGTTTCAGTTTCTATTTTGATGTTAGCTTTCTGATTCCAATATAGATTGAGAATTATTCGCAGATCTTTATTATCTATGTCCTTCCTTTCAAGAATTGCCACTTTAACACCTTTTTATCTTTCTTAATACCAATATTTTACTTAAACATGTTGACTTAGATCGTAATATTTTAAAGTGCAAAATCTATGGTTTCATTTTGTACAATTACTTAAGGACCACCCTGTATACACGATAAACTATACACTTTGGTGGAATTTACAATAAAAAATATAAAAATAAAAATCCTATCAACACAAAAACCTACTTTTATATTATAGATTACTATACTACGATATTACGATATACTACAGATTAAATAAAAATGTAACAAGTAAAATTCAAATTAGATCGAAAAAATGCGAAAAAACTAACTAAACTGATCCCAAAAAACCTAACATCGACGATCAACAGAAGAAATTTAACCTCACTTATGTCTCAATATATGACAGAAGATGAATTTCAATGCATGCTCCAAGTAAAAAAATTTTCTTAAGTCGTCATAGGTGACTTAAGCTTAAGCAAAAATATTTGTACTTAAAGCCGCGGTCAGACTAGGCTGTTTAGCAGCCGCTACTAACCAGCCGCTGGTAAATATCGCCATCAGCCAGCGGATCTGAGGGGTTCACATTGTATGTGTACTAGTATTTTTGTGTACTAGCCGCTAGTACAGTTGATGTTGGTGACTTGAAAACATCGTGTGGTAGTGTGTTGTGTGCATCATGTCATCTATTGGTGTGAGTCGTGAAGTTCTGAGATGTGTGTTAAATATTGGAATAAAAGAGTTGTGTGAACAGATGTTGAAACGGAAGAAAAGGCGATGGTGGGTTAGATCCTGGATATTAAGAAGAAACGATCTGGGGGCATCAGCAAGACTTTTTAAGGAACTAGAATTGGAAGATCCGTCATCTTATGCAAACATTTTAAGAATGTCAGTTCCAAAATTTAAAGAGCTATTAGAGTTAGTCGCTCCGCTTATCCAGAAAAAAGACACCAAATTCCGTCAGGCTATTCCAAGTAAAACAAAACTAGAAATAACTTTACGTTATCTAGCAACTGGAGACAGTTACAAGTCTTTGGCCTACCTGTTTAGAGTTCCTCATAACTCAATTTCAGTGTTCGTTCCAGAAGTGTTGAGCAGCATTTACGAGGTTTTACAGCAGTTTATCAAGGTACAGTAGTAGGTACATTATTTACTCCTATTTGTATATGTAGTTAGCTTATCAAATAGAAAATAATTGACCTTTTCTGAAAAAAACGAGCAAGGGATATTTTCTTACAGGAGAGTTAGGAGGCCTAGGACAAGAATTTATAAGCACATTTTACTTTTAACAATAATGTAGTTTATTCACAAAGTGAAGAAGATTAATGGGGGTAGCATTTTTTCAGGAGATCTTTTTGCTGCTTTATTACCTGATGCAGAAGGCGTTGAACACTTATTTGTTTTTGAAGGGCTTGGAGTTTTAATCTTGACAGAGGTGATTGCTTCGGTGTCCTCACATGGATAGTCGTAGTTCTCATTTTGCATTGCCATCTCCGTAATGTGGTCCTACAAAATAAAAAAATTGAAAAAAAGTAGGATAATAAAATAACAATTTAACTTATAACAATTAAATATACACTTCCAGACGGTAAATTAATATAAATTTTTAGCAGAGTGTTCCGTAAGTAAGAACCTCGTACACAAAATTCGTAATGTGTTTCGTTGGGTCAAAATAAGCAAAAAAATTTATATTGACAAAACTTTGATCTCGCGTGTTTTCCCGTCTTTCGGTCTCTCCAGATTTTGTACAAAAAAATACGAAAGTCTGTAACGATTGTTCAAAATCTTTACAGGCCGACAGACGCGAGAAGCGAGATAGAACTTTTGTCCATATCAACGTTTTTGCTTATTTTGACCCAGAGAACCAAACTACGAAAGTTTTGGTACTTTTACGGAACCCCCTGTACATTTAAGAAAATTACAATTGTTACTTTTGTACGTTCTATTTCAGGTACCGGATAGAATAGCTGAATGGAAACAAATTCAAAAGTCGTTTGAATGTAAGTGGAACTTTCCTGATTGCTGTGGGGCACTGGACGGAAAACATATCAGAATTCAACGACCTCCAAACAGCACTTCTCTATTTTATAACTACAAGGGGACATATAGTATTGTTTTATTTGCCATGGTGGATGCAGAATACTGCTTCAGATATATTGACGTTGGGTGTGATGGCCGATCTAATGATAGTACCATTTACAACAATTCCACTTTGAAAATTGCTCTTGAGAGAAACCTTTTAAACTGGCCTATAGGAGGACTTTGCGTTGCCGATGATGCATTTTGTCTCACGTCTTACATGTTGAAACCATATTCACATAGAGGTCTCTCTGTGGAAGAGAAAATTTTCAATTACAGACTATCTCGAGCTAGGCGTGTTGCTGAAAACGCCTTTGGTATCTTGGCCAGCCGTTTCCGCATATTCAGCAGACCTATTCCGTTGGACGTGGGTACAGTGAAAATTCTTGTAAAAGTAAGTTGTGTACTGCACAACTGGTTAAGAATGACATCATCACAGACGTATATGACCCCGGGATCAGTTGATGAAGAGGACTTGATGACAGGAGTTATAAACCCAGGTGAATGGCGCCAAGACCCTAACACTATGTCTCCATTACAAAGACTGTATGCATCCAACAACTACAAACAAGAAGGAAATGACGTGCGAGAGTAGTTTACCCAGGAGTTTACAACAACCTTGGCTGTTCCTTGGCAAATGAAATCTATCGGACATGAATGTACTGAAAGCGACTAATTTGCCCAAGAACTATCTGATACATACACGAAGAAATGTTTGTTTCTTAGGAAAATTGACAGTATTTGTATGTACATCATTTTGCCAAATAAACTTTAATTTGCAGAAAAACAATGTTTTCCAAAAGTAATTGTCTCTACCTTAAAAATTCCACGATTACCGTACTAGATTAGTTTTTAGACTACTTTAAAAAGATTAAATTTGTACTAAAATAAACTTTAACCAGTTAACTGGCACTTTGACGCATACGTAATGGTTTTTATTGGTTTTAGCCAAAATGAGGGGCAACTTTTAAAATTTTCAAATGAATTTTCAAAACCCTAATATTTTGCTCCTGTATAGGCTTATACTTGACATGTTTTGTGTACATTTCGTCAAATATTAAACAAACCTTTAGTAATAGTTAACAAATTTATACAAGTAGTAAAAAATTAGTTTTAAAGAATAATCTTTAAGTTTTATATTTTTAACACAAATCTAATCTAATCTATCTGTTGCTATAATTTTAAACTTACCAGATTCGATTATGAGTCACGACCAACAATACTACTGCTCCAGAACATTTGGGCTGCCGAGAACCACACCAGTCTAGGTTTGTAGACGTCATCTGCTCCCGCACCACTCTTCTTTGACTTTTTTATTTTGTACACTTCATTTCGATAAGTATCTCTCAAACTTTTTATTTTTTTCTTCAGTGGGGCCAAATCTGCTTTCAGTCCTCGTTCTTCAAGTTTCTGCAATAACTCCTTATATGCTGAGTCTTTGGCATTTCTGTTGATATAGTCTGCACACGAAGCGTCCCATAGACAAGGATAATTTTGGAATATATCTAGGAAAGTAATTATATCTTTACCCGACCACTTGTTACTGTCGACCATATTCACTGGAAAAAATTAATAGAAAATACAGTAGAATAGAAAAATATAGAAAACCAACACTGCTTTTAACTAGACACGTGTTAATTCACCAGCCGCTTGTGAGCTACTACCCCCTACTAGGGGTTCACATTGGCTAGCTGGCGCCAGCGAGGAGATCACGTGACTGCCTGCGGATGGTAGGCAGCGCTAAAAAGTTAAACATGTTCAACTTCCGATTGTGGCTAGTCCTCTGGCATTCACCAGCCGCTGGTTCTGGGTCAGACTAGGCTGCTTGCTGGCAATATTACCAGCGGCTGGTTAGTAGCGGCTGCTAAACAGCCTAGTCTGACCGCGGCTGAAGTAAATATTTTTAGTTAGTGGAATGAAACTCAACGGACTTAGTGAAAATTATTTCTTAAGATCAAATAACTTAAATCGCGTTGGTGGACTGGGCGCTAATTATTTCTTAAAGTTTCACCCCTTCTTCCGCCCCTTTTGATTTCGGAAAAACTTAATTCCTAGTAGGTATATGAAAAATAAACTGGTTTTTAAAATAATTTCTTTATTGCTTTTGGGCAGATATTACAAATAAAGTATATTTAGCTGTAAGATCATTGGGAATGACTTTTTCGGCTGCAGCATGCTTCATACGTTGTCTTATTATGGTCAGGTAATCCTTTTTGTATTCTTCAAGTTCGCTTTCAGGCACATACGGTAAGGTTGCGTTTATAGAAATAAACAAATCTGCAACATACTTTAATTTTAGGGAAAAATATTAAATAAGTAATCCATAAAATTATCACTAAAAGCATGTTTTCTTCTCTATAACAATTGTACAACGCCATTTTTGAAAAGAAATACTGGTAAACAAATCTGAAAGTAATAGCAATTTTAGACAGTAGAAAAACTGGTATACGTATTATTGAGAATAACACGAATAACTTTTAAAAGGTATATTGTAACATTTTTTCACTTTCTAAATTTTTTCTTTTGTTGTAGGTACTTCACACAACAAAGCAATAAAAAATCTATTCTTCTAGTTCCATGACCGTTATCGATCGTTCGATCATGTTGACTATCATATTCGCTATCGTGACTTTATTGACAGCAGCTCTAAATAACGATGTATAGCAGCTCCATACCATTGCCTTAGATTTTTCAGCCACGATGTTCTTCGTCTACCAGGACCACGATTACCTTGGTTCTTTCCCTGAATGATCAGATGTAAAAGATCATATTTTTCAGGGTGTCTCGTAATGTGACCGAAGTATTCCAGCTTGCGTTTTTTTATTATATTGACCAGTTGTATTGTTTGGCTCAGCCGTCTAAGGACCTCCTCATTTCTAACTCTGTCGACCCAGCTTATTTTCAGTAGTCGTCTGTATACCCACATCTCAAAGACTGTCAAGCGTTTAAGCATACCCTCAGTTAGAGTCCACGCTTGAACTCCATACAGCAGGACAGGAAAGATGTAACAAGATGTCATACGAACTCTAAGGTCAATGCTAAGATCGTGACTGCAAAGTACGTTTCTCATTTTTACAAAGGCAGCACGAGCTTGTTCTATTCGGCTTTTAATTTCTGCGGTTGGCAGAAATTGGCAATTGGCAGTAATTAATAAAAAATCATTTGTTCAAAATACCGCCTGCCGATGAAGACGCAGCGATACTGTTGTGGCAAATTTTAAACAAGAAAAGAAAAAGAAGACGATATTGGATTCATTCAGCATTTGAAACGTTCAATGAACATGAAGCCAATATACGTATCCAAAAATTAAAAACGCATCCCAAACAGTTTCAAAACTGTTACTATATTTCTACCATATTCAAACTGTCGTAGGACAAGCTAGCGAGAAAATAGTTAAGATCGACTCCAAGAGAAGTACAAACAAAGATTGGTTTGACGAAAACTGTCAGGCGATAGCAAAGGAAAAGAAGATCAGACAACAAATATTAACAGATGATAGAGCGTGTAAAAAAACAAGAATATAGAATTTTTCAAAAAAGATTGAAAGCTTTGTGTAGAAGTAAAAAGAGAAACCACAATGAGTTGAAATTAAAAGAGATAGAAGTTTAAAAACAAAGAGGTGAGGTCGTTCTATCAAGAAGTTAAAAAGATGGGAAAAGATTACAAAAGCCACTGTAGTTATATGAAAGGTAAAGACGGAAATTTAATTAGCGATCCGGCAGAAATAATGATGGATTGGAAAAAATATTTTGAAGAATTATTAAATGGTGAGGAGGACCACGAAGCAGTAGACAACTGTACAGTTGGAGAAGATACGGAAGTTGAAAGGTAGCCTACAGAGGAGGAGGTAGTGACAGCAATACAGGAAATGAAAAATAACAGAAGTCCTGGTAAAAATGACATATGCATAGAAATGATCAAGTTTGGTGGAGAACAACTATAAAAAAAACTATATCAGCTACTAGTGCAAGTGTGAGAAAACGAAGTAATGCCATCGGAGTGGTATGAGGCCCGCATATGCCCTCCGCATAAAAAAGGAGACAAACTGAAGTGTGACAACTATAGAGGTATACCAAATTAGACACAGTATACAAAATATTGGCAAGAATATTGAGAAATAAACTAAATTGCTACATGGAAAGAATCCTGCATGAATATCAGGCCGGCTTTAGAAAGGACAGATCTACTGTAGACCAAATATTCTCATTAAAGGAGATACAAACGACTTGTTATGAAGGTAAAGTTCTTCTGCATGTTTTGTTTGTGGATTTTAGACAGGCATACGATAGAGTCGATAGAGTCAAAATGTATCGAGCAATGGAACATTTGGGTATACCAAAAAAACTGATCCGGCTAGTTAAAATAACATTTAATAAGTCTACGTGTGAAATTGCTTGGCAGGGGAACATATCAGATCAATTTACGGTTGCAAAAGGCTTGAGACAGGAAGATCCTTTATCTACTACATTATTCAACTAAGTCATAAAAGGATATCCATAAGTTTTTTTTTATAATCTAAATTGGCCATATTATAACCTAGGAACCATTTCAAAATTTTAACCCCCTTATCTTTCAACTTATCCACGACCCAGTACTCCAACAGCCAACTGAGTGCCGTACGGACTAGTTTCGTTTTATTTTGTTTGCCCAATCTTCTACCCTATTTTTCTTACCCTAAGGTAAGCAAAATATTTTCGTTACAAATTTAAGGATGAAAGAAATGGACAAGAAGTTATAGAGGAGAATGGTTAATCAAACTATAAGCCAACTAAACTCGACGTACTAATTATTATTATTATTAAGAGATCTTAAGGGATAAATAAATAAGCCTTATAGATTATTACCTGTAAGAACTTTCTCGTTTGGAAAAGTATATGTCAAATTTCTATGCTCTTGAAAATAAATATCTGCAAATCCAGCCTCTTTTAAATCCTTCTCATAATGTTGTCTTGGATTTTCCTTATCAAAGTACGGCGATATCATCATTTCCTGATTACATCTTCCCCACTTTGGATGCTGACTTAATTTTTGAAAAACTGCGTCAGTTGGGATGCGTTCATATAATACATGAAAAGTTTGTCCTCCTTCTTTTAACATTCTGTGGATGTTTTGAAATGCTAGCCTAAAATTAAAAATTAAACAAAATAGTTAAAAAATAGATATAGTGTGTGAATAGTAACGTATAAATTTATTATTTTGTTCGTGATAGAGGTTAAAAAATCACAAAAATAGGTCCATTCTTTCGGACTACGTCACAGAACGTTTTCGGAAGGACTATTCCATCATCAGTGCTGCTATTAGGTATACATGTGTGACCTATTCAGCCTCTAAATATATGGGGAAAAGCCTTTTAAATGGTTTTATACTACATTATTGCTAATAATTTTAGAGAATGTTGACGTTATGAACAGAATTCATTTAATAGCAGCGTAAGACTCCCAACACGCACTAGCTAAACGTGGCGTTTTAATAGTTTAAAACCCCAAAAGTTATTTTCCATGAAAGACGAAACTACTGAATGTCTCTCTCTGGCGGCTCAAACACTCCCAACCAAGGTAGCGGTTGGAACAAATTTGGAAGAGAGGGTGCTAAGAATCCTCGAAAAAAAATCAGGCTACTACAAAGAGCGACAAATGCATATTACATCATACAATGTTAGAACTCTTATATCAAACCAGAAGATGGTGGAACTGGAGGAAGAGCTGAAAAGAACTAAATGGGACATCATTGGTCCCAGCGAAATAAGTCCAAGAGGAGAAGCCCAAATTACCCTAAATCCTTAAATCAGGATACATATTTCATTTTAGAGGTGAAAAAGACGATTAAAATGGTGAAGTAGGATTTGTTATACATATCACACAAAATATAGTTGAAATTATCAGTATAAGCCCCAGGATTGTATATCCCATCTTTAAACTAAATTCAAGATATTATAACCTTTAGATAATCCAGACAAATACTCCAACGACTACCCACTCGGATAAAGAAATTGATGAATTTTATTATCATCATCATCATCATTCAATCTTCGCTTATCCACTGCTGGACATAGATCTCTTTCATAATTTTCCATCTATTTCGATCTTGTGCCTCTTGCATCCAATTCCTATGACAACGTTTTAGATCGTCAGTCCAACGTGTTGGTGGACGACCTCTGCTTCGGTAGGCATCATCTCTTGGTCTCCATTCCAGTATCCGCTTTGTCCATCTATCATCTGTCATTTGAGCCACGTGACCTGCTTAGTTCCATTTCAGTGTTGCTACTTTCTCTACTCCATCAGTCACTCCTGTTCTTTGTCGTAGCTGGCGATTTAGGATCTTGTCTCGTAGTGAAACGCCCAACATAGCACGCTCCATCGCCCTTTGACACACACGGATCTTTTGAACTGTTCTCCTTGTCATGGTCAACGTTTCCGCACCGTAAGTCAACACTGGCAAAACACACTGATTAAAGGTTTTTATTTTAAGACATATTGGATCAGACGATTTGAAAATATGGTTCAGCTTGTCGAAGGCTGCCCAAGTCAGTCTTGGTTTGGTTATCTTTTCCTATGCGAATCTCATGACCTAGGTATTTATAAGTCATTACCTGGTCTATGGATCTTGTTTATACGCATATATCTTCGCTGACTACAAGATTTGTCATCATCTGGGTAGGGAAGAATTTTATGAGTACCTACAAGTAGCGTTACATACCACACCAGCATATTACACAATAATTATGAGAAACTTTGATGCGAAAATGGAGTATAAACAAGATGGTTCAGAAGTAGCAATGGGTAGGTATGGTATAGCGAAAGAAATGTACGAGGGCAAAGATTGCTGAACTTCTTATACCAGGAAAATTTATTTATGTTGATCTCTTTTTTCGATAAAAAGCCTCAGCGTAAATGGACATGAATCAGCCCAAATGTCAGTGGCAAAAATGAAATAGATTATATTATCATTATTATCATCATCATCAACTAGCCTCTAACGTCCACTGGAAAATGGAAAGTACCCAGATATTATCTATTATTCCCTCTACTAATGTAGTCATTCCAAAGAACCTCCTAGAAAACATAAAAAAACTCCCCCAGTTTTTCCAAAAAGTCACCCAGGGCTCGATAACACGGAAAGAGTTCCACCAGAGCTCAATCCGTCATTTGATTCCATAGTTATCTGGGATGAGTGAATTTTTCACTTAGAGGAAGTGTGAGCCGTATGGCTAAATCTGGATAATAATGTTTATTATAATGTATGTAACATATAATAATAATAATGTTTGAAAAATTATATCACTCTTTTTTGGAGGTCGGACTAAAGATTAATATGAACAAGATACAAATAATGACTAGGTCTGGTGGTAAAACGTAATATTACTGTTAATGGAAGTGAGATTGTACAGACTACATCGTATAAGTACGTAGAACATGAAATTCGGTTGGGCAAAGATAATCAGACATGTAAGCTCTCACGTCGCATAGGATTAGCCTGGGCAACGGGTAAATTAAATTATGTATTTAAATCGGGTGAATTATAATGCATATGGGTACCTAGATTCAACTCAAATTTGGGAATGCCAAAAGTCCTTTTTTAAAAAGAGTTTATTAGAGCTAAAACGACTAATTACAATAAAATCAGATTCTAAACTGAATAAAAATATAAATTAAAATAACACATATACAATTGCAATTATACAATTCACAATATTATGAAAACATAGCGTCAGCACTCTAGAGTTCAATGCTTTGACCATGTCAGCACTCCTAAGTCCATGGCCTGAATAAACTCATAGGCGTCGCTCTAATACTTTCATATACCTCAAAAGGAACATTTTAGACCAAAGTCTTAACCAGACTTTAGACCAAAGTCTCTACTTATGGAGCAGAAACATTCAAACAAAAAAGTAATGAATAAGATTCGAGTGACTCAGAGGGTTATGAAGCGGCAGATGTTGGTTGTCTCTAAGAGACCGAATCCCAAACGAAGAAATACATCGTAGAACAAAAACAACAGACGCCATCAAAAAAATCGCGACGCTAAATTATTATACCACTAATGGACAAAACGTATTGTCGAATAGAGACTAAGACAAGAAGCAACCTGTAGCAGAAGACGCCCACCAACTAGATGGACTGACGACTTGAAGCGTGTTAGCAATAACTGAATGCAAGCCGCACAAGGTATAGACAGATAGAAAGAGCTGGGGGAGACCTATGTCCAGCATTGGACGCATACAGGTTATTAATGATAACAGTTGGATTAAAAACCAGATAGCCCAATGCGACATAGCGATTTAGTGTCAGACTAAGGCCACAAGAGAAACAAAAGAAATAAAATAAACAGAAAATTATTAACTTTTAAATTTGACAGATCTGTGTTTGACTATGATATATTATAAATGGCACATTATGGACTTTGGCAGATTTTAAAGCTAATAATAAATAGAATACTGCTAAGACAAATACGTTTTTCTATCTGATTATATTCCTATGTGAGATGTATTGCAGGGGTTTCGTATGGATGGTCTTGTAAAAACAGTGTATGAAATTTACATTTTGGAATAATTATTCATAAGAATCAAAGAACTTTTTTATGTAACACTGATATTTACTCACACGTCATAAGAAATTAGAGACAGTTTGTAGTACCCTATATATTATGATGATGATATATATTATTATGATGATATTATGATATAATAATCAAAAATTTAAAAACATTAATTCAACTACAGCCTTTAGAAACCAAGTTAAAGAGCACCTAGTGATCATGTGTCCTTATACATGTTAGTTTTGTTATTCACTATTTAAACCGATTTAAAGGATACATACCTGGGAAATTTTACCATATGGATAGTAAAGAAACTGAATATATGATCAAACCTATTTTTTAACTCATCAGGAACACTTTCTGTTGCAATGTCTAATTGACAAAAATTTGACCTTGGTAGTACAACGTTTTTTCTAGCATAATCAACCATAGGTTTAGAGACATCAGCGCCTATAAATTCTTTATAGTCTGGAGGAATTATTAGTTGTAAACAATTTTTGGAGTTATTCCCATCTGCGAAACCAAACTCTAGAATAGACGGGGTTTTTCTCCAATTTATAATATGTTTATGTTTGGATAATAGTAGTTTTGTATTATGAATAAAGAAAGGTGTTTGTTGTGCAAATAATTCGGGTAATACCATGGCCGCCATTATGGCTTCGGTAGAAATTCTTTATTATTGTAGAAATCTATAACAAATAAAATAATAGTTAATAAAAAAACTTAAATAAAAAAATTGTTATAGTATATTACATAACGAGATTTGTAAGAAGCTTATTACATGCGAGTAAAAAAGTTGCGCGCGAGCCGCGTAGCGGCGAGCGCAGTAATTTTACAAGCATGTAATAAGCTTACAACTCAAGTTGTGTACTATACTTTCTCTACGATTATTTTCGTTTATAAAAATAAAAATTAAATTACCACTATATTTACACTGACAGATTAATAATTTTTAATATGTCAAAATAACGTCTGTTAATTCGTTTCCATGGTAACTCGACCAACTGACTTACGAGGCTTATGTGATATTACACATTTTTATAAAACTGAAGCGTATCTGTTATGATGCATTTACTTAGCATCCAAATAGTAGGTAATATACAATTTACTAGTAAGAGAGTAGAAAAAATATATAAACATATAAGATATGGAATAAATTCGATATTTCCTAAATGAATAGCACTCAAAAAATGTATCCTCATCAGAAAAAATAATATTTTAAACCAAAAGAAGTTTTCATATCCATCATTGTTTCGCAAAATCGCAAAAAAGACAAATAAGAAGACTATAGACGATCGGTATACAATCCAAAATATCACGAAAGTCCTTGATAAACTTGGACGCTGTCAATACTTTTCCACCCTCGGTCTGGCCAGTGGATTTCACCAAGATGGAAGATATACAGAAAAAAGGATTTAACGTGGAAAATGGCCATTATGATTATCTCAGAATGCCTTTTGGTTTGAAAAATGCACCCTCTATGCCATAGAATAATGAACAATATGTTTAAAGGACAAATACGAATTAAAAAAAGTCGAATAAAATCAAATTCAAGCAAAATTAAAGCCATCATAGACTATCCCCTACCAAAGACTACCAAGGATATTAGAGGATTTCTCGGACTACTTGGATATTACAGAAAGTTCATTAAAGATTACGCAACAATAACAAAATCCGTCACCTCATGTTTGAAGAAAGATGCCAAGATAAAACACACCAAACAATTTCTCAACTGTATCAAAATCTGCAAGAACCTGTTAACCAACGAACCACTTCTACAATATCCGGACTCCGAAGCCTTTCAATCTCACCACAGATGCAAGCAACTTTGCATCTACAGATGCTGCAACTATAGGTGCTATCCTGTCACTGGGTCCTGTAGGATAAGACAAACCCATTGCATATGTATCCAGAACACTGAACGAGACCGAGCTTAAATATTCTACCATCGAAAAGGAAATGCTTGCAATCATATGGGCTACTAAATATTTTCGACATTATTTATTTGGAAGGAAGTTTAAAATTCTCTCCGATCATCGACCACTTCAATGGCTATTATCTTTGAAAAATCCGAACTCGAAACTCGTTAGATGGAGATTAAAACTTGAAGAATTCGATTATAAAGTCATATACAAAAAAAGGAAAATCCAATACGAACGCCGATGCATTATCTTGTGTTGAAATCCACACCAAAGAAGTAAGTACCATTGACGAACACGTAGAAGAAATAATCAGTATATTATCCAGAAAAGAAGATGACTACCTAAAGGTTTTAACTCATGAAGGAACATTTTAAAAACACCCTTTAATAACTTCTACAACTAAACTGCACTGCTTTATTGATTGAAAATAACTAAATTTAATAACAGTAGTATTTAGTTTATATAAAAATTAAATGCTTTCAAAATTGCTAATTGGGATTGCTGACCTACGGAGCTACCGCACCGTAATTTTTCCATCCCTTTGAGAAGTTTGGTGAGGGATGAAGAAAATTGAAGGTCTATATTTTGGATGATTATCGTCTATGGATACCACCAATATAATTATATCCTGGCAATATCTTATCAATATTTAGGTTTACAAATTACGAGAGATATGGAAAAAGAAGAAAACTGAAGAAGAACAAGAAGATACAGCTGATCCAGAATGTATACTTTCAGTTTTGTTCATCCCCCACGAAACTTCACAATGGGATGGAGAAATTCGGCATGGCGGTTGGCAGGAACTCCGTAGGTCAGCAATCCCAATTAGCAGTTTTGACAGCATTTCATTTTGCCTTTTCTATTGACTTCCCCCAAATGTTTCAGTTAAAAAAATAGCGCTCAGTAATTTTTAAATGTTTTAAGATATTTTTCGGCTTCGTTTCATGGGATACTAAATTATAAACAACTTATAAATTTAATTTAATTTAATTATTTATTTCTTTTTATTTTCTATTTATCTATTTATTTTCTATTTATTTCCTCTTCAAAATATATCTAAATGAGGCACTCTCACTGTGGAGAAGAAAGTGCTGCAATATGGGCATCCCAATCGGAGATGATAGATTGTACACGATACATTTCGCTGATGACCAAGCCATTCTAACTGAAGACGAGAGTGATATAAGCTACATGCTTAGAAAACTGGAAGATGAGTACACCAAATGGGGCCTCACAATTAATATACAAAAAACTGAGTACTTAGTTGTAGGAGAACAACCAGAAAGCCTACAAATAAAAATGGGAACTATAAAACCAACAGACAATTTTAAGTACTTGGGAGTCCAAATAACATCAAAAGCAGGAAGTAGCGAAGAAATACATTCCAGGATTGGCCAAGCAAGATCAGCCACCAGACAGCTACACGGACTATTATGGAATAAAAAAATAACAAAAGAAAATAAAAGAAGAATTTATAAAACAATAATAGAAAGTACTGGACTGTATGGCGCCGAACTCTGGAAAATAAACCAAAGAAACAAATCAAAAATTAAGGCCATGGAAATGAACTACTGGAGACGATGTTGCCAGCTCACTAGAGTAGATAGGGTGAGAAACGAAGATATTCGGAGAGAAATGGAAATCGATCTTGACATAATAGACACAATCGAAGCCAAAAGACTTAACTGGTATGGACACCTTCAGAGAATGCCGGAAAATAGATGGCCAAAAAAAATAGAAGAATGGACTCCGCCAACTAGAAGAAAATGAGGTAGACCAAGACGATCCTGGAGAGACGATGTCGACGATGCAATGACCGCCAGAGATCTAACAACTGAAGATTGCTTCGACAGAAAACGCTGGAAATTAGGATGCGAGAAGCGACGCCAGCTGTAGAAGACTCGCTTGTTATATATATTATTTATTTCTTTGAATAAAAAAACAATAAATCAATATAAGGTTGAATGTTCGAATAATTAAACTTTGAGGGTATACAAGGCAACTATCGAACACGGTGATTAATTTAATCTTGCGAAAATCGCATAATTTGTGACAGGGAGGTGCATCCTTCCATGCCCAGCCACTGGTAACACTGCCATTCTGTCTCCGGCTTCTATATAACATGTAGCTTCTCCTTAAAAATTTTACGTGTTTGTTTGTCTTAGTGTATTGTATTTTGTATTGTTATGTCCAAATTTTACATTTATGACATTCTACTATGTCGGATAGGCCACAACTGACGAAATGCCCCTGAAGATGATCTATTGATCGAAAGTACTTGGGCAAGATTAAATTATCACCGTGTTCGATAGTTGCCTTGTATACCCTCAAAGTTAAAAAAAAAAACAATAAACTAGTGTTAATTGTTGAAGTGTATGTCTGTTTCATTGATTTGAAGGCATTTGACAGAGTGCAACATAATCGGCTTAAAGAAATTTTATTAAATAAAAACATAGCCCGCAGAAACATTAGAATCGTATGTAACCTCTATTGAAACCAAATAGCAAAAGTAAAAGTTGAAAATGAACTGACCGAGGATATCCAGATTCGCCGTGGGGTCGGCCAAGGGTGTATTTTATCACCCTTATTATTCTATTATACAGTGAAGCCATCTCAAATTAGCGATTGCCGAGGTCAGTGAGGGCTTTATACTAAACGGTGAGCCACGTAACAACATAAGATATGCTAACGACACCGTCAAACATCTTCGTACAAATACCTTGGAGCATGGATCACAGAAGATACTGATCAGACAAAAGAAATAAGATGCTGCATTGAAATTGCACGGTCAACTTTTAATAGAATGAGAAAACTTTTTTGTAATCGCGATATCAATATATCGCTCCGGATAAAAATGCTTCGATGTTATATTTTCTCTACCCTTTTGTATGAGTTGAAGACTGGACACTTAAGAATCCAAAAAAAAAACATTAAAAACCTAGAAGCATTCGAAATATGGTGTTACCGACGTATTTTGAAAATATCATGGATGGATAGCAAAACAAACGCACAAGTTCTCGAATAACTAGGAAAACAATGCGAAATTTTAAATTCCATAAAAATCAGGAAATTGGAATACTTGGGGCACATCATAAGAGATGAAAAATACGAACTACTAAGGAATATAAGAGACAATGACAACTTAGAAAGACTAATTGTGTGCGGAAACGTAGAAGGACGTAGAGGCCGAGGACGCTCACATATCCGATGGTCAGATCAAGTACAGAAAGCCACTGGAGAGACGTTTTCCGAGTCCATGAGAGCAGCCCAAAATCGCAAGAGATGGAGAGAATTGACAGCCCGCATTGTAGGGAATCACGATCCTCAGCAATGAGGAAACGACAAGAGAGAGAAAGGAATATAATGCAGGGTAACATCAAAGGCAGAAGAAGCGTAGGAAGACGTAAAATCTCGTGGCTACGCAATCTCAGTGAATGGTTTGGATGCAGTTCAATTGAACTATTCAGGTGCGTATTACCAAAATGCCGCTTCAGAGCGGAACCTGAATAAGAAGAATTGTTGATTTAGATAAGTGATTTAATTGATTTATACAGTTGAATAATTATTGTTTATTTAATATACATTTCGCTACTCAAAACATTAAATAAATGAATTTATCGGCAACAGAAATATTCACACCAGGCAGAAATGTGAAATTTTAACCAAAGTCTTAGAGTAAACAAAGAATTTATTTTTAGTCAACCAAATTTTTAAATAATTTTTAACATGATTAGTGGCGTTATCATTTTAAAACCAATTACATAGCAAATACGACATTAACAATGATTAAAGTTTCATTAACGATAAAGATGACCTTGAATAAAGTATACATACCTATAAGTACTACTATACTACTTGTTTATAGTAAGTGTTGATGATTATTAAAATTATTCACTTTCTACATATAAAAATATTATGGCGATTATAATTACACAGATCACAATATTCAAAATTCAAAAAATGTAACACAATTTTAGTTTGGTTAAGATTTGTTTACGATACAAAAATCTAACGTTGACGTTCTAAAGGTTAAGGTTATAACTGATTACGTAGAACACGAGTTATTTAATACATAACAGATTATAATACTGGGGGAAATTTATGTCAAACGTTACGTTAAAAACTAATATATATATATATATATATATATATATATATATAATATATATATATATATATATAATATATATATATATATATAATATATATATATATATATATGTATCAAATTATTCTCGACCGTACTGTGTTAAATATTATTTGTAGTCGCAGCAATTGGTCTGTATGAAATGTAACTCTATTTGTTATTTCTCAATATTTCGTCACGATTTTGTGACTTCTTCAGGAGAAAACTGTAAATTTATTATAATTATTATATGTAAACAAAATGAATATTTCAATACTTACAACTTTACAACTTAAGAATATCCAATTTAAATAAATGACATTTTTTTGATTTTAATTTATTTGGGAGTTATGGTAACCGCAATATTTTATAGAGTGAATTCCCATTGTACAATTTTTAGCGAATAAGTTTTAGTAAACAATTACATATTGTGACAGTATTATCCATATAATAAGGTGCAAAAGTAGAAGATTGAGAAAGAATCAGGAACATAGTAAATTGATCTATAAAATGTAATTGATGGTACGTAGTCAGTTATTGGTCTGATGTTGTTAGATACTGATATTAAGATCTATCATATCATATATTGTTTAGTATATTACAGTAGATATTACTTAAATGGTTGGTGTATGTCTTATAATTGATAGATTCTGGAGTTTTATTAATGTGTACCATTTCAAGGAAAAGTCGATTTTTATAATTATCAACTTGTTCCAAGATTTTTACATTATTAATGTCAAAGTTATCTCCTGTCTTTAAGTGGTGGTCCACTAAGGCACAAGAGTTTTTTCGTAAGTTACAGCGTTGTTACAGTCACTTTTGTGTTGAGTGACACGTTGTTTAAGCCACTGTTGACTTTGTCCAATATAACAACTTTTGACATTGACTGCAGTTTATTCTATAAATTATATTACTCATTAGTGAATTTGGAGTTTTAACTTTTATTTTTGAGAACAACCTTGAATTTAGAAGTGGATTGTATTTAATTAATTTAATGTTCGGAAATGTTTTGAAAAGTGGGACAATTTGGTCTGTTAAATTTTTTATGTAAGGTATTTTTTTGTATAAAACTGGTTGTGGATTATTTATTAAAGCTCTATTGTGAAAGTGAGTGTTATAAATAAGTTTTTTTAATATATGTTTTGGGTAGCCATTGTTTAAAAACATTTCAAAAAGTTTCTTTAAATTGACATCTAGGAAACTCCGATCACAGATTGCCGTTACACGATTTTTCATAGATATAATTATGTTGAATTTTTTATTTCTAGGATGATTAGAACAATAATTTATAAATCTGCCGGATGCAGTATCTTTTTGATTTTTTTATTGATTTAAACAGGTGAATTGCAGAGGTTTGATCGGTCCGATATTGGCAAGTCTTTGCAAATATCGGACCGATACACAGTTCTCTACAAAAACAAAGTAAAAAATTAACAAGGTTCATACTTCCAAAACAATTTGTAGGCTTTTGTGGTGTTCTGAAAACTCTACCACAGTATAAAGAGGTTCCAGGAACCATTTCGGTACATTAAAATTGCTAGATTTATTCTCGCTATTTGAAATCAGAATTGGTAAGTGATTGCTATCAAAGAGACTGTCGAGGACATGCCAGTTTAATAGAGATGGGTCAGAAAAGCTCAAGTCAATTGCTAAAAATGTGCCAGAAGATATACTGCAGTATGTACTTGATCCGGTATTTAATATTCAAGTGCTAGAACAATTTATTACTTTTCCCCTTCCAAATGTTTTATCAGAGCCCCACATAATATTTTGTGCATTGAAATCACCCACAATAAGATAAGGAGTGGGGAGCTGATGGATTAGATCATACAGTTCCTCTTCTGAAAGTTTGTAATTAGGTGGTACGTAAATGCTACATACTGTAATTTTGCTGGAACACCAGATATAGACTGTTATTAGTTCAATGCCAGTAGTGAGTATGTGATGTGTAGAAAACAGATCTCTAAAAACAAAAATTGAGGTGCCGCCACTGGCTCTCAGGAAGTCCTTTTGTAGACAATAGTAACCTTCATAATTTTTAAGTTGTCCAATTTTGGTGTCTTTAACGTTTGTATCTTGTTGGATTTTTTCATATCTCAGGTAGAATCCGTCACAAGTCCATTGAATTAATTTGAAAAGTAACTAAGTAATTAAAAGGTAGATTTTTGGGACTTTTGTGATGTATCTGAGAGATAATCGTGATCAGTGGATGATTGTGATACTTCAGCGTTGCTATTATCTGTGGTTAAATATTTCTTTAATTTTTTCGTTGTACTAGTAACTTTACCCTTAACAGATCTTTCTGTTAAAGAAGGATATATCTTATACATATCGTCCAACAGGACCTGTATATCTGTAGTTATTTGCAGAGCTTTGATTATTGGGTTGCAGTTGCCAAATAAGTTCTCGAGGAATGCAATAATCTGATCAGCTGTTAACGAATAGTCATTCGAAATTGTGTTACAGAGATTTTGTATAATAGCGAATAAATGAATAGCTTCGTTTGTGAACTGCATCCTAGGTTTTTTCCTAACTAAGTTTAGTTTACATCAACGTCGGATATCTGGTCTTTAAGAGAATTTGTGTCATTAGTTGATGAATGCAGTCGTTTGACACTGAGGTTTTTTGTGTATTTGTGTTAGGACATTTGTTTGTTGTATGTCTAGGCTGTTTAAAAAGGAAACATTTCATACGATTTGTAGACAAGATATTCTCATCCTGTATTAAAAGTGATGTTTGAAGCTCGTAGTATTCAGTAGCTGGACTAACGCAGACTTGACATGCCCTCATTAGGTATGGATGGACAGATATCGGATATTAATATTCTCTTAGCTGGAGAAATTAGTCTTCTTATACTCAGCTCAACTGAATTTACAGTTACAGTGGAATGCTCTAATATAAGCTGGTCTACAAGTTCGGTTCTTGATAAGTAGATACACACTCGGTTGTTTGATATTTTTGATGTAAAACAAACATTTTTGGGATTAAAGATGTTTCCAACCGCTTTAACGTAGTCCAATAACACAAGATTGGGATGAGAATGTATGATAATTGCTTCTTCTTTTTTTGGAAAAATAGGTTTAGGTCTTGTTTTGGCTGCAGCAACGTATGAAGTTGTAGGTGTATTGTTTTCTCCGTCATTCGTTAACATTATAGATTTAGTTACGTTTGAAGTAGTTTGTTCAATTTTGTTGCCCTTGTAGTCAAAAGCAACAGGTTTAGGATTATACCTACATAATGGTTGTAATTATTGGCCAGTATCAAGATAACAACAACACACCATGTCGTATTACTGGTTGCCTATAAAATTGGTGTGAAGTGAAAGGCGATTTGAAAGATATTAGTGTTTCACTAATGAGCACAAAAAAGTTCAGAAATAAACAAAATAAACAGTTCAATACAACAATTATAGCCAAATATTAAATAATACCTTTACGCTTACTCGTAGGCAAGAGTTAACAGCAGTTTTCAATACACTACATCTTCGTGATTATATGTCCAAAATTTAGTAAATTTACAATCCAAGTATTTACTTTAAAACTAACAATTCTCAACATACAGAACGACCTTTACATGTTCAGACACCGGAATCAGTCCGAAATAAACTTTAAAATGCAGAGAATATTAAAAAATGCGTATACACACTTTGACAGTTATTTGACAATCTCTATTTGTGTGGAAATTGAGAAATAGTGTTTAATTTTATAATTTCTACAATATCTATATAAATATTGCTATGTGTAGTTATAAATAACGTGTGTATATATTAATCTTCAGCGATGGTTTGTGTTTAATAATTTAATTACATTAGTCATGGCTAGTCAGAGATTAGCTCTAATTAACTTTTTACGAATACAGAATATTCAATACAATCATCAATACTCATGGTAATTTAAGTGGCTTTGCATGTAACTCCCTGAAATTTATGGATAGCTTAATACATAAACTACAATTGACATAAAGAATGAAGTATCTACCAACCTTATACCTTTTTAATGTATGTAACAATTGAAAAAATCATAGTTGAAGGGGTCAGAAGCAAAACCGCCTAAGTAGCAAAATACACATTTTGAGAAATAAAGCATCAAAGTTTTTGCTCTTTTAAAAATTCTGGATGTTCAAAATTAAAAATTTTAAAGTATTAAACAATTCAAAATAAGTATAAAATTTTAAAGATACTTCTGGTGAGAAATTATTTTAGTTTTTTTTACCTCTTTCGACAAAAAAATGCACTTAGGTTGTTTTACCTTTAAGCAAAAATGGATTTATAATACATAAAAAGAACTAAACAAAAGCTTAATTTTCAATTAATATTTATTTTTTCTTAAAAAAAATACAAATTTTACTTTTTTATAATACCAGAGTTACACATAATCTGAGAAAAAACCTATGTACTCGTTTTGTTCGACGTTGGCATCTTCTTTGGAAGACTTAACAGCAGTGCTTCCTTTTTTTCATTCTGTTTTTTTTTGCTTCTTTGACTCCTGCGGTAAATCATTATAAAATTGATGGTAAATGGGGGTATGAACTCTTCTTCTTCTTCTTAGAGTGCCGTCTCCCTACGGAGGTTGGCAATCATAATGGCTATTCTTATTTTAGAACTTGCTGCTCTAAACAAATCAATCGATCTGCATTGGTACCAATCACGTAGATTCTTTAACCATGAGTTCTGCCTTCGGCCAACAGATCTTCTTCCTTGAATCTTTCTAGTATGAACTCTAGCAGCTGTTATAAATTCTGCCATTTTTGATACTTTAATTGTCTCGTACTTCTTTTTTCGTCTTCAGTTGATGATGATATTAAGTTTACCAACCGATCGATTTAAGAGTTGAATGAGGATGGTGAAATTTTAAATTGAATTCAGTATTGAAAATATAATCCCTCATCCCTTCCTGGGGGTTTATCGTTATTAGTTCAATTATTATCTTTGTAAAGACCATACATTTTGCGAATGTTTAAATCGGACGAAAGGTATTTCGTATTTGGATTATAAGAG